ATAACTATCAACACAATAAAAAATTTACATCCTAAATGAGGAAACAGAAAGATGCTTTAGAAAATGGCACAAGAAAAATAGTATGTTTTTCATATCAAAACAAGGTAATAAGGCTTGTCAATTACTTGTTTGAGGATTCCTCAAATAAAATCATGCCAAATTTCATAAAAAGAACCATTTTAACATTAATAAGCTAAGTTTTTCGTTGCATACTATCTATCATTCTTGCTAATTTGCAAAAAAAAATGTTATAGCTTCAAATTTTAGCGACATTAATAATCTTGGAAATGGAAATGCAAAAAAATCTCATCTTTAGTCTAAGAAAATACAAGGTAAAGTCCTAATCAAGAATATCAATATAAAAACACAAGGTTAGCACAATTCATTTGGTAATATTAGCAAACACTTGGCAAGCAAGAAAAACCTACAAATTTCTGGAGAACTAAGCGAGCACCAATTTTCTCAAAAGAAGAACATTGGATAAAAATTTAAAAAAAAAAAAAAAAAAAAAAAAAAACTGAACTGAAAATACATCTCTTTCTTTATACATTCGTACCAATAGAAAAAAAATTAAAAATAAAAATCAATCATGGTTATGCATGTATGTATTTATGTGTGTGTATAAGTCAATGCCCTTGTATAAAAAATCAATCAGGTATGTATGTTACCGTATTTGTGTATGTATCAGTAAAAAAAACGCAGCAGGAAAGATTAATCAGAAAAAAGTTGACCATTCATTTAGTCCCGACTATAAATAAATTATAAAGCCCTAATTACACATATACACACACAAGAGTTTCTGTATACTTTTTCTATAGCAGGTTTTAATCAAACTCGGAAATATACAGATCATTGGTAAAAACTTACATGCTTGCTTTTCCTTTAATTGCCTTCTTTCTCCTTTACCTTCGATTCACAGGTTGGTAGAAAACGAGATCAAGACTCTTCTAGGAGGTTGTTAATCTTGGCGGTGATGATGGTACAAGTTGCAATGTTGGGGGTCTAAGATGGAGTTGTTATTGTTCTATGAAGATAGTGATTAAAGGTTAATCGAGAGATTTTGATGGGTTTTATTTCCAGATGATTAGCGATCATGATTTGGGTCGATGGTGATGAAGACGATATGGTGGTGATGTTGATATAAGGGTTTTAAACCGATAGGCCTATTTTAAGGAGTTATTAATTGATTTATTTTTTACCATAATTAATTATAGCTAAAGTTACTATTATACCCCTATCAAATGATGGGTCCAGAATGAGTCATACATTCATACAATACTTGTAGTTTATATATGAACCTAACTCCTCTCTCTCTATAGTATAGTCGATAGATTATATATATCTATAGATATATATATATCTAGAGAGAGAGAGAGAGAGAGAGAGACGTGTATGTATGTGTGGATAGTAGATGAAGAGATAAATGATGTGAACAAATAAGTTGGTGTATTATTGTACTTATAAAGGTAATTCTTTCTAATAAATGAATGTTTTTTTTGCTTTGTCACTTTGTCCTGAATTATGACACTTGGCATTTTATGGTGTTTTTGAATTTAATAAAATTCACATGTCATTTTCTTTTATTTATCAATTTTATTTAAAAATGTCACCTACTTATGTATTTGTGAGGATTTAAGAATACACGTTCCTTCCAAATTTCAATTCCTACATTTAAGACCATTTAAATCAATTTTCCGTTTATTTTTCTTATTCGATATTATTAGCCTAAAATTATGCTACTATTTCATAAAGGCATTCAAATTCACATATATTCCATTTTTTTAAAAAACTTTTCAATGTATCTATATATGTTATACGGATTTAAAATTATGCTACTAACATACTTTTTTTTTGATATTTTTCTTAGATTTTTTGTTCTTTGTTTTTTTATTTTCCAAATAAAATTTGTTTAAACATCTTTTTGAGAATAATAAAATAATAGAAGTTATTAGCAAACTAAATTATTTCATAAACTATTTAAATAAAACAATGGTATTACTATGTATGAGTATAGTTTTTTCTTATATATTAAAATTTATATTTTATAGTACGACATGATGATTGTATATTAATCTTGAGTTAAAACACATTGTTGATGTTTTGATATTTAAACTTTGATACATAACTTTTATTTTAATCAACACATATAATACACAGGTCGCACACCTAATATGTTTAAAATATGAAAGAAACAAGTTTTTTTCCAACTAATAGTCTTTTGTAACTGGCGAGAGATGAGATGGTCAAAGTAAAAGAAGGTTAGTAAAAGGCTCCTATTGACCGTTCTCCTTCATTGTCATGACCACGATCGACAACGTCACAAACACCACCATATGTCCATATACGCATGTGGTGTGGACAATCTGTGGTGGCCAACCATAATGAAAACAAACCATGCTCATGAGGATCTTATTAACTCATTAATCATTGATTATTTTGTGGTGTTGCTAACTTTTACGAAAAAAAAAATACCAATAATTTGTTTCCATCCTTTTCATTTTCTCCAAAAATGATATCTCACCTTATTTGACTTGTACCTATTGGTTCCTCAAGTTCTTCCCATGGAACATTTGGACGCTTCTTCCAGTCTTGTTATTTCACATCTCATGAAAACGAAATTAAACAAAAACAAAAAAAAATTGAAACAAAAAACAAAAAAAATACCTCCACATTGGTCTTTTAAAACAAAACGAAAAAGTGAAAAAGAAATCATAAAAGGAGAGCTTGTTGGGCCCCGACATTCCCACTAACCCGAACCTCAAGTCGACGCGCTTCCGCAGCGCGATGATCGGAAACTTGTGGTCTTGCTGGCTCAAGTTAGATAAGGTTCCACGTCAGCCATCAGCGCCGACACTGCTCCAACATGCTGGCGCGTTTATCCACGCTCCGTCATTTATCCATTCACATTATCTTAGTGAACTACAGATTTAGTCCCTAGACTATTAATAAAGTTCATCTTTTAGTCTAAAAAAGAAATGCTTTTGTTCTATTGATTTAAAGAAAATTATCTTGTCATGTTGCTGTAACTATAAGAGCTTATCAACGTTTTGGAATTTCAACATCTTTCCTATTCTATTTGTATTTTTTATTTGTTTATAAAATTTAAAGATATAAATCGAAATAGTAAATCAAATCAAACACATCAAAGTTGAATTGAGATCATAAAGTTGTTAATCAAAATCTATCATCTTGAGGATTTGCTCAAATGGTAACTTGAACAATCAAGAGATTTGCTCAAATTGTAACTTGAACAATCAAGAAACATAAATATGAAGTGTATGACAAAACAGTAAATGTCTAGTTCTTTTTTTTAATGTTTGATATGTTTTGGATTGGGTCTGGTAAGAGGTTAGGTTTGAATAAGTCAGATTCAAACTATTTGATACCATTAGGTTATTCATTATTTGGATAAAACCGAATTGTCCAATTGGATAATTTGAATTTGAATATTTGGTTCGAATATTCTTATTTTCGGATTGATTTTCAACAAAATCGAATTATTACTTTAGATTTCGGATTGACTTTAATATATAAAATAAAAACCGAATAATCTAAAAAAACCGAACAACAATTTATTATTTATTTATTTTAATATATCTATACTTATTTATTATTTTATTATTTTTTCAGATAGATTCAAAAAGTTTCACCTAATAAAAAACCTTAATATGTATTTTTTTTTCTTAAAAGTTTTTATCTATAAAATATTAAACTTTAATATATTTTTTTAGTAGTTGATTATAAACTTTAAACCACAACTAAGTTATTTGTTTTTTTTTTTCCTTTTATAAAGTTGGGTGATATTCTAATTATATGTGGTTTTAAAAAATATTCCGATTTTTGAAAACCAAATTATAAAAACCGATCCAACCGAATCGTAATTTGATTGGATCGGACCGATTGTGAATTTAGTTTGAACTATTTGGATTTATGTCTTGAAAACCGAAATCAATTTGGATTCATTTGATTGGATCGGATCAAACCGATCCATCCAAACGAACACCCCTAGATACCATAATTAGAAGCATCTGATTCAGTCTTATAGTCTCTGATATACTTCTTATTGGGTCAAATAAGAGGTTTAGTCCGACTGAATCGGGCATTGACTCAATCAGCAATTCTCAAACAATCCCTAAAGGTGCATTTTTTTAAATGGCCTATATTGACAAACTTTATAAGACTATTTTTTTACCATAAATATGAAGATGAAACTCAATTCTTTACACTTTTTAACCAACTTACAACTCAATAGACAACAAACGAACATAAAAGAACTATATGTCTCATAATTAATGAACAATTTGTTGAATATGCAAGTCGTTTACAATCCTATCCTACAGTTATGTTGTTGATTTTTTAATGCTAACAAAATAAGCCAACTTTTCATAAAATAATGAGGATCGATCCCTTTAGCAATTCATCATTTAGGATCCACAAGTGTTAAATCATTATTTTAGATCCACGAGTGACATTCAACAAATAAATAAAAATTCAAACAAAATATACAAAAAAAAAAAAAAAAAAAAAAAAAAAAAAAAAAACCAACAGTATTTTGCCTATTGAATAGAGGTCATAGAAGATCATTGACAACCTAGCTTCAAGCTCAATGGTAGCACCTCAACAACTTAAGAGGACTCCTCAAGTAGAAAAGAATATGGTCTAAGCCACTCGCCCACACAATCCCATTTATAAGTCTTTTCTAATAAAATTTTGCAAAGCCATTTAAGTCAATTGGACTTTTACATTAGAGGTAGCCACAATGGCCTTAAAAGTGACTATGTAAATGTCTAAGGACATGAAAATCATTAGAAAACTAATGCACATTTGATACTTTTGACTTTTGTGGTCGTGAACTACAACAAGAAAACATTCGGTTTTGGATCACTTAAAGAAACAAATAAGTTCAACAAGCTAAACTGAAGGTAGGTGAATAGTATAGGGACTAAATTTGTAGCTTCCTCCTTTATCTAGTTACGTTATCTTGTACCTACTCTTTATTTAAGTTCATCCCTTTCAAGATAACCCTCATAAAAATTCAATTCAAGATTTTTCTCATAATTCTCTGTGCAAATCGTAATTGCTACTGTATTATTTTTCTGTATTTGATCTCTGATCGGAGCAGATAAGTTACTGCGATCTAGACTGCTGCATATGTAATTCGATTTGAGAAGATTCGAAAGGAAAAGAAAATAAACTACAAGTAACAGATTCAATTTTGATTTCGTCAAACCCTACTCAGAGTTTATCCAATCGTCTCGATTTGAGCAAATAATACCTACGAATTGAGCATCAATTCTCCTTGATTTGGATAACGAGTAATTGTTATTGTGGATCCAAACAAAGATGATGACAAGACAACCTCACCAAGATGATCAACAATCTAGGGTTTTCTACGAGTTATCTGCTTTGATTCTTAACTTACTTCGACATCCTCCTACGCCGATTCAATTCTCCGATGAAGTGTCTACGTCAACGCGGAGGCAGCCGCGTCCGGCTCCCCTATCGCAGATAACGCCGGCGGGATTCGCTTCTTTGTTATTGGGGATATCGTTGGCTTTAATGTTGTGTGGATCAATAACGTTCTTCATAGGGTTTTTGTTGATGCCCTGGGTTCTTGGATTAGTTATGTTGTTTTATGTGGCTGGAATTATTTCGAGTATTTCCATGCTTGGTCGTGCCATTTTCTGCCATACTCTGTCTCCATCTTCACCTAGAAAGAGCGTCCCTGGTATGATTTGACTCTTGTCTGTATTAACTTTTACACTTCCTCAATTTGATTATCAAAAATTGAATAGAACGCCACATGGGGTTTTTTCTCCGTTGAAGTACTTCATCCATGAAGATCTGGGAAGAATCACAAATTCTTTTGTGGATGCATTTACATGGGATTCTTATACATAATTGCCTGTTTTAGCAAGCAATACCATGTGTATATTGGTGTTTGTGGAAGCTATAGTTATCTATCTATCTATATGTTGTTTTAGCCAGCAATACCCTTAATTGTATTAAACTACGCTTTATACATAAAATCTGCAACTTTTTACAAAACGGATTATCTGTTATGTAATTTCAGGGATTTCCATTTCATATTATCGTGTAATCATTAACACTCGGTATTTCAGAGTTGTCAATATCTTCACAATTAGTGTTTTTGGAAAGATATAGGATTATGTTTGATCAATGGTTTATATTTTTGATTTTGCAGCTTGGAAACTGTTGTGAAACAAGAGATCCGTACCATGAATGTTGTTTCTGATTTGAGCCTCTTGAAGTATTAAATGCAGGAAGGAACTCTGGATGTTTAAGAATTATTTATAAAGACATACAATATAGGCATGAAGTTTTTTTTAGGTTTTCTTTTTCCGAATTAGGGTTGTGGGTGTGCATTCTTTACTTCAAGAAGCATATGGTGGTTATGGATGATGTGTGTATAACAGTAAAAGCTAAAACATGGTGGTGGTGGTATTATGGACTTGTTTCTTACTTGTACTTATATTGTTGTTTTTTACAATTGATCTATATTATACTTTATACACACATTTATTATTTCTAAATCACATATCAATTTAAGATCCATTGTTTATATGTTCTGAATAGAATATATGTTGTTTATGGATAAGATTGGATGTGATAATTAGTCGTTTCTCTTTGGTTATATGTGCTGAAACGAGTTTAATAAGTACGCATTTTTTTATTAAGTCTTTCATTATTTATTTACGTTAATAAGTTAAAGTAGTTGGTTCAAATGAAAGTCGAAAATGATTATTCTATGATAAAGGTTATAAACGTGTTATGCCTTTGTTATATTTCAATTTATTTGTTTTTATTGTTTTTAACTTTTGAAATGTTTGTGTTTACATACAAATAGCATTTAGCATATGTATTAATTACTACACGCATATACTTAATATAGGCTTTCAATTATTGTTTTTAATAATAAGTTTGTCACAAGAATTATTAAAAATATGTTATTATAAGATAAGATGTGATAAGACTCCAATTGTTAGAGAGCAGAATATTTTTTGTGTCTACAATTTACTTTCATATGTTGACCTTGGAGTGAGGGCGACATAAAACCGTCGAAGTATACGTTTTATTTTTTCTGTAGTTGTATAATAAATGATAAACTTTAATTAATAAAAGTTTATTAAACTAAAAAACAATATAATTAAAAATTATTGCTTTATCCTATATAATAATTCGACTAAAGCATAGTTGGGATATTTAATTGAAAAATGTCCTTATTTTATTTTGAATAGTCTATCGCGCATCGCAGCTTCCTGCCAAAAACTCATTGTCCTGTTGCCAAGACTTTCTCCCGAAGTGTCTATGATTCATGAATCCAACCACCTACCGTCTCCTTTCAATCAACAAAGTCACGGAGGAGACTGCTTAATTTCCGTCGTCGTTACCTGTAATCTGTGTATTGTTGTACTCGACGGAAAGCATCGATCGTAGTTCCTGCAGCATAGCAGCGTCAGATATTTCTCTAGCGTGCTTCGAACCTATTCGGTGTTAACAACTTCGTTGAGAGCTCCGTTGTCAGTCATTTAAGAGTCGAATATACAAATGACGACGTCGGGTGAGATTTTGAAATTAACTGTTGTACTGATAGTTGAATTCTGATCGTGTATTTGAAGATTACCTGTATTCGTATGTGTTATCCAGTTCTAGTCAGTGCGATTTACAGCTTACATTTATGCTCTGAAGTATTGAGAACTTCGAAAAGCATGTCATGTGATTGAAACTTGCTTACTAAGTATTGAAAGCTGTAGAAGGATTAATTCCTAAATTAATTTGGATAAATTCGTATCTGAACAAAGTTATCATGATTTATGGGTTATGGCAATTTTGGGCGTCGTTGTAACTGGTTATACTCAGTTTCAATATTTTAATTTGAGGTGGTAGTTATTCCATCAACATAACAAGTATTCAAGTGAGATATACATTATAGAAGATCCAACAGCAGCATCCATCCTGTTGATATAGAATCATAACTGGCGTTTGTGAGGTGTAATGAATCAACAAAAATCATGAGATGTGACAGGGATCCCCACCTAGACTGACCTAACAAAAACTAGTGTTGTTTTTAATCACTGGAAAATAGAGGATGAGAGAGAGAGACCTAACTCTGCACATTATGTATGTAAATCTTTGGTACTTGATCAACCTTATGTACTTCTAAAGTTGTTTTTGTTTTGTATCTTACTTAGGGTATGACATCAGAGATATACTGGAAGAAGCACAAGTCCGATGGCTAAAGGCAGGAGAGGTGCTTTTCATACTGCAGAATTATGATGAAAAGCAGCTCAGCCGTGAGGCCCCTCAACAGCCACCAAGTATGTACTTGTGTGTTGATTTATTTGAAAGATATACATCTGATATTGTCAAGGTTATCTTATTGATTACATGCTTCTACAGGTGGCTCTTTGTTTCTCTTTGACAGGAAAGTCCTGAGGTTTTTCCGTAAAGATGGTCATAGTTGGAGGAGAAAGAAAGACGGAAAAGCCATTGGTGAAGCACATGAACGTCTAAAAGTTTGACCTCTTCTCCTCTTCTTTTTTTATTTTTACTTTCCATATTTTTTCTTATGCTAAACTCCTTTTGCATAGGTTGGAAATGTTGAAGTTTTGAATTGTTACTATGCACATGGTGAAGAGAATCCAAATTTCCAGAGGCGTAGCTATTGGATGTTAAATTCGTGAGTATCTTCAGTTTAAATACAAGATGCTACTAAGATTCTGTTTTTAACCGAATAATGAACACATCTACTTCTTGATTTAATGTTTGACAGGGCAAAGGAGCATATTGTGCTTGTTCATTACAGAGATACAAGTCAGACAACCCCGGTAAGTCTCTTAACTATTCATATAATATTACATGAAACACTTTTAACATCTTTTTACAGGGTAGAAATATTGCGGGACCCCTTTCAGCATTTTCTCCAGGAACTTCTTCAAATCTTGTTCAAAGTTCCAACTCTTATGCTAGTCGGCTAACATCCAATGAAACTAATGGACATTATTATGAGAACACCTCTAGTCCAAGTTGCATAGAAGTTAGTTCAGATTCAATTACAAAAGCCAAGGGGATAAGCCATGAGATTCTAATGAAAACTGAAAACAGTTAGTGGTTCACCTAACTCTGAGGTTGATCAGGCTTTGAAAAGAATTGAGGAACAGTTAAGTTTGGATGAGGGCCATTTGGAAGAAATTGATGCTTTATACAATGACAATGAGAATTCAAATGATTTTGGGCTGACAGTGGATGAACAAAGTTATAATAATATATTTCAAGGGTACCAAGGTAGTTCTAACAATTATAACTCTTGTGTGGTAGATTTAATGTTTTTAATCAAATATTCAACCCTGGAATGGATTCTAGAACTATCTGACAACTCTTTTTTTTACTACAGCATCCATGTTCCTGCCTCATTCACTTGAAGATCTAAAATTTTCTTCAAATAAGTATGGAAGTGATTCCGATTACTCAACAATGTTTGACCAAGAACATAGTCAAACTCCTCCTGGACCAGATTCAAGTTTGACCATTGCACAAAAGCAGAAATTTACTATTCGTGAGATATCCCCAGAATGGGGCTATGCAAATGAGTCAACCAAGGTATTACTATATTCCATTTTCATTAAATCAAAATGATGCTTTTCAAATATGTGCATATTCCTCACTCACTCACTTACTGCAGGTATTCTTTATTGGGACATTTACATGTGATTCATGGACTTGTATGTTTGGTGATACTGAAGTTCCTGTCCAGATTATTCAAGAGGGAGTCATTTGTTGCCAGGCTCCCCCTTGTTTGCTGCCTGGAAAAGTTATTGTTTCTATTACTTCAAACAATCAAGAGCCTCATAGTGAGATCAAAGAGTTTGAATATCGTGATAAGCCAAGTAGTTATAAACATAAATCATCAGAAACAGAATCACATAAGAGCTTGGAAGAATTACTGTTACTAGTCAGACTTGTGCAAATGCTACAATTTGATCAAAAAGGAGAAAGAACAGAAACTGAGGATTCATGGAGTCAACTCATTGAGGCCCTTTTAGATGGAAGTTTGGCATCATCTAATGCAATGGAATGGATCCTGGAACAACTTCTAAAAGACAAGTTGCACCAATGGCTTTCTTCCAGATTGAAGAATAACAGTGCTCTTTCCAAAAGAGAACAAGGAATGATACACATGGTTTCTGGATTGGGCTTCTGTTGGGCCTTGAGCCCAATACTTAACTCCGGTGTAAGCATAAATTTTCGCGACATTAATGGCTGGACTGCTCTTCATTGGGCTGCACGTTTCGGAAGGTAAATCTTTATAGGGTAAAGAAATATAAGTTTATTGCTATTAAAGGTAAAAAAAATAGATTTCTGATATTTTATAATGTGATAGGGAAAAAATGGTGGCTGAACTCCTTGCTTGTGGTGCATATGCTGGAGCAATTACAGATCCAAGTAAGCAAGATCCAACAGGGAAAACCCCGGCATCAATAGCTTCTGCATGTGGACACAAGGGGCTTGCGGGTTACCTTTCAGAGATGACATTGACTGGTCATCTTACATCTCTCAAACTACAAGAAACTGAAGTTTCTAGAACTTGTGATGACGTGGAAGCAGAAAGAACAGTAAACAGTCTTGGTGTACATGATGATCATATTTATCTTAAAGACACGTTAAGTGCTGTTAGGAATGCAACTCAAGCTGCAGCACATATACAGTCTGCTTTCAGGGCACATTCTTTTAGGAGAAGGCAACAGAAGGAATCTGAGGGAAGTGAAGATGAATATGGTTTGCTTTCAAGTGACATTGAGGGTCTTTCAAAGGGGTCAAAGTTGACTTTTCGAAATGCACATGATCACCATGCTGCCTTGTCGATACAGAAGAAATACCGGGGGTGGAAAGGTCGAAAGGATTTCGTTTCATTTCGCCAGAAAATAGTCAAAATACAGGTCTTGCTTCTCTTTTTTGGTATTATGGATTACTACATATGAAAGTTGAAACACTAGCTTCAGGTTTAGGATTAGTGTTGATGATCTGATTCTGATTTATTTAACTCCTTTGTAGGCTCTTGTGAGAGGTCATCAGGTGAGGAAAAGCTATAAGGTTATATGTTGGGCGGTGGGTATAGTTGAGAAAGTTATTCTAAGGTGGAGGCGAAAAGGAGCTGGTCTGCGAGGTTTTCGCCAGGTGGGGTCTGTTGAAGAAGATGAAGATGAAGATGAAGATGAAGATGAAGATGTTGTGAAGGCATTTCGGAAGGAAAAAGTGGATGTTGCTATTGGAGAAGCTGTGGCAAGGGTACTGGCCATGGTGGACTCCCAACCAGCACGACAGCAGTATCACCGCATGCTTCAAAACCATAGACAAGCTATGGTAAGTGCATGCATACTTATTTACATCTCATTTATCTACTTTCAGAGGCTTTTTTAACTTCATATATCAGTTTCTTACCTCGCATATAGAACCCATATATATATATATATATATATATATATATATATATATATATATATAACCAAGTAAGACTACTGTTTCATAGATATTTGTTTAAAGAAAACTTGTGAATAATGGAGAATTTTGCAGGCCGAGCACCGGGGTTTTGGAGGTGGAGTAGCTAGTATGGAAATAGATGACGTGTATTAGACTGTTAGTTATATAGACATGTAGAAGAAATAATTATCAAGGTGTTAACTATCAAGTGCTCATGTAACCAAATGGAGGTGTGTGTAATTGGATTTGTATTCAAGTTAAACCGCAATAGGCCTCATTTGTTTAGTTGTTTGTCTCTAAAAAATGTTTATGGTTGTCAATTTGCCATAGACTTGATGATGATAAACTAAGCACAAACACAAAAACAAACACCAAAAATGCATTTCACATATAATCAATCCCCATGTGAAGTTCTTAGTTTTGATAAATTACCAAAAGAGAATAAAAAAACATTATAAAATCATAATAACCAGATTTCATTTGTGCCCCTAGTCATGATTAATCAAGGGACATAGATAACCTCTCATAAAGGTGGCTTCAAGCATAGTTCAACCTAAAAATGTCATTCAGGACGTAAAAGCTTGACTGCGGTGTGGGCATTAGATGGAACATCTGCACACACACACACACACACAAACAATATCAGATTTAGGAAAAGCATCAACAGGCACAAACCTAATGAACATCGATAGTTTTTAATTTTTTAATTTCGAGATCAATCTATGCGAAAAATACTTATCTATGGAAGTAAAGCGATTTATAAAATGCCAAAAAGACGGATGAATACTGTACCTGGCTGAACTTAAGAGCATGCTGCTCGCCGCTGAGTTGGAGGTTACCGGAGACGAAGACGAGCATGCCGCCGGCGGGGCCAGAGGGCTGACAGTCAACGGTAGTGATGCTGTGCTTGCACTGTTGGAAAGGGAGTGATGTCAACTTGGCTACGATGTTGGGAGATCCCTGAATCTTCTGACCTTCGAACGTCAACATCGAGGATTCCTGATACAGGTTAGCCAAACCTGCCCGATTAGTATCGAAAGTGGAGTAGTAGTGCTCAACAAACGCCTTCGCTACCGCATCTGGATCCATCTCCGCCTCTTGCCGCCGCCTAAGCCTTTGAATCTGAAAAGGAGGAGAAGGGTTTTTGTTTGCGTAGATTATTATGGAGAATAATAATTATATATATAAAAAAAGTGAGGGGATTATGTATTTCAAAAATATTTTAAAAACGGGCCCTATAATTTGAGATTATACCATATTATGCTCTTGAGGGAAAAATATTTGAAAAACACTCCGATTTATGATTTGGACAAAAAAAATGATTTGGCATATTATATAAAGTAAGTTACCTAAACGGTTGATATGGTTTAGTGAAGATAACATATTCAATGCAGTTTTTTTTTCCTTCTACATCATCATTTGTTATATTTTCTTGTGATCTTGAGTCATCCAACTAGCATTGTTACAATCGGATTTTGGTGTGAGGGAATTAAGAACTATTCTGAAACTTCACAAAAATATTGGTATCAAATATTTCCAATGACAGGGTGACCAAAAACCAAAATGAAATTGGGAAAAAAAATAAATAAACAAAACGAACTGAAACCAAAAACCAAATTGTCGGTTTTTTGATTTTCTAGAACAACGTTTTTTGTTCAATTTTGAGTGAAACTGTACAAAAGAAAATCAGAAATCAAGAAACATATTGATGGATTGTTAGGCCTAGCTCGCACTTAATTGATGTGTTCGATTAGTAGTCTGATTTGATCATCATAAATTATAAATCAAGAAACATACTGATGGATTGTTAGGTTTATTCATAATCCATGACTCAGTGCACAATGATATATTGAAAAACACAAATGAATAATTTGATCACTTATCTAAGGGCTAACTCTTGATAAGATCAGAGTCAGCAATTGTTATGAAAGACACGCTTTGTTGGTTATTTGAAGTCTATTTGACCAATATTAGTTGATGAATTGTCCAAGTGAAAGACTGTTGAAAATAAGTGTCCAATATCATAACTAATTGATGTAACTTTGAGAATAATGACAAAGTCCTTTTTGGGTTGCCTTCAAAAGAGATAGGGAAACGAAAGGAATTAGGGGAAGGGAAGGAAGAGGTCCAATGGATGAAGTGAAGATGTTTATTTTATTTTTTTCTTTCTTTTTTTTATTTAAAATCGATAAACAAATTTAAAAAAACATTATTAAGGGCAAAATTGTCTTTTTATGTCCGGAGGAATGAAACGCGCAAAGTTAAATAAAACGAGGGACAATCCAAGTTAATTTTTAAAAATATGGACTAAACGTGCATTTTGACACTTGCACGATTCATGTAATTTACTATATTCTGTAGATTGTTTTTCATGTTTGTACTACATATCCTCCCATTAATTTTCCTTTCCAATTTTAATGCCAGTTTGTTATTCAAAAAAAAAGTCGAATGTAAAAAAAATTAAAAAGATTTGGTTGCCATAAAACAATGAAATATAGCATTTTTTAAGGCTATTGAGTGTGTGCAACATGTTATTACATGTTATCACACAAAAAATGTTCACCTCATCATCCTAGTCACACTTTTGGTGTTATAACACCCAATGTGGAAAATGAGCAATACCAAATAACATGTGATAACACCTACCATTTTTTTTTTGATGTTTTTAATTTATGTTTCTCTAATTTGTTTTATTTTTTAAGTTATGTCATAATATTATTAAAAAAACATATAAATTAATAAAACATAATTAAATTAAATACTTAATTAAACATACCGTTTTAAAAGTAAAAATGACATTACAAAGGAAGAAATAAAAACATTGACCGAAAACATACGATAGTCCTAATAATTTTAAAAACATAAATTTGATACACTATTCTTCGCCTAAATATCTCCGCTCGATCTTCGCCTTCATTTTTCGAAGCACTTTTGCCCGTCTCGGTGGCATATTATCCTCGCTAGTTTGAAGAATTGTCAAATTCGTTGTCATGTGATCTTCCTCGGCTTCTCAACAAAGGAACTCCAAATGCTCACGTTGCAACTCATATCTTTTAAGTGTGATTTCGTTATGGGAGTCAAATTTCTGTTTCATTTCCGCTTTCTCTCAGAGTCTACTTTCGCTTTCCTTTGCATGTCGTTGAGCCCACCTCGCTTTGTTGCGCCCTATCGTTCGTCGAGGCGGGGAGATCTCTTCGATGTCGTTGAGTAACTCATTTGTGTCCGCATAGGGATTTCAACGGGGGAAAACATGACGGAGATTGCATCCCCCGTCCCCGTTCCCCCGCCCCCAAAATCTCTATCTTTTCCACTCCCGCCCCCACCCCCAAATTCCCCTTCTTACCCCCGCCCCTGCCAGGGACGGACACATGAATTGATAGTAGGTGTTGCCGAATTTTTTTTTTCCGGTCAAACATAATATAAAACCGAAAAATAATTCATTACATCTAATACAAATAAGTGATCCATTACATAAAAGTTAAAAACATAACAATAATTTATCATTTATTACAATTTAAATTTGTCATCTTCGTGCAAACATCTTTTGAAACCATTCCATTACCTTTTTATTCTCAACTTTCACAAGTGCTTCGGTCTCAACATAGCAAAGCAACGTGTCATTCAAAAACTCATCGCCAATCTTGTTGCGCAAGTTGGTCTTCAAGAGCTTCATCTTTGAAAAACATCTTTCTACATTTGCGGTCGCTACGGGTAATATCACAACCAACTTTAAGAGCTTATAAACCAAATGATAAGACCGATATTTCCCCGTACTAACCATCAAACAATAAAGCTTAGAAATTCCTTTCAAAGTGGTAAACCACTCATCTTTGATGCAAGAGTGATAATATATCTCAAGTTGTCCTTCAAGATCTATCAAATTTGAATCACCAAAGTCATACTTGTACAACTTAGCCAACTTCAACAGCTTTGATTTGTCAAATTGTGCAAATGAATCACAAGGGCTCAAAGCACCCATGTATTCTAGTAACTGGTTGTTTGTTTCGCTAAATCGATCCCGATATTCTGTAAGTTGCATATCCACCACCGTGTTGAAGATTTCAACCTCAAAATGAAATCTATTGGTCTTTGTGGTCGTACGGTTTCTCGCACCAACATAAAATACCTCCATTTCCAAAGTAGCAATATTGTGTGTTTGACAAAAAGAAGATACCTTTGGCAAAATGTTAGCAAACCCGGTGTCTCTTAAAGATTGAAATGTGTCCATTGCCCCTCTAACCATCGAAGTCGCTTCTAAAATGTCTAGATCTTTTTCTTTGAAGTTGCTTTGATATTCTATCTGTGAGGCGTAAAATTTCATACATCATATATAAGTAAAACATGAACTCATAAGATTTAAAATATGCTAAGATTCTGGACGCTTGTTGATGGTTTGCCAATGACCCTCCATCCACTTTCACAAATTCTAAAACTACAAGAACATCCACAAACAACTTCATCAAACTTGTGAGTCTGTTGAAATGTGAACCCCATCTTGTATCTCTCACTCGAACAAGTGTAGTCTCTTGATTTACCCCTCTTCCTGTTTCAATCTCACCACTACACAAGCCTTTTTGTACCCTTTCTCTTGCTTGTTCCCGTAGTAAGTCTTTTCTTTTACATGAGGCACAAACAACATTAACCACCAACGAAATTTGCTCAAAAAAGTCACTAACACCATCATGCTTCTTTGCTACAGCTACAACCACTAATTGAAGTTGGTGTGCAAAACAATGTACATAAAAAGATGTGTCATTCTCTTGTAATATCAAAGCTTTCAAACCATTGAATTCCCCCCACATATTGCTAGCCCCATAATAACCTTGTCCTTTTATCTATTAAAAAAATTAAAAATATATATAATATAACACATAAAGCTAATTAAATTAAATTGAAATAACAAAAAAAGTAAAGAATAAATTACCTGACTAAAACTCAACTTATTACTTGTAAGTACTTCATTTATGGCGTTTTTTAGTGTCAAAGAGGATGTATCATTCACGTGCACAACTCCAATGAATCTTTCATTCACAAGCCAAGACTATCGACATATCGCAAAACAATAGTCATTTGTTCCTTTTTTAAGACATCGCTAGATTCATTAACCAATAAAGCGAATACATCTTGACCAATCTCTTGGTGAATACTCAAAAGTACTTCTTGTGCAAAACATTGCACAAGTTCTTATTGAATTTTAGGGCAAATAAGTTGATTGTTTTTAGGAGCATTTTCTAAAGTATTGTTGAAAATATATTCACTAGTCTCTCGAATGGCTTTTAACACTTCAATATAAAGCACTCTATTTTCCAAGTTAACCGACCTGTCATTACCACGAAACGGTAAACCGGTTTTCAATAAAAATCTAACAACAATAATAGAAACACATAATCACGCTTTATATTTATGGTCCTCCGCTTCGGTTTGCCTCCTCAAGACTACATTAATAGCTTGTTTTTCTCTCAATAAAAAATCACACTTTTTCTCATGCTTTGTTGTGAAAACTATCAACATTACCCACATGAGTCCGAAATGCATTTTTTTTATTCCAAGTATCAAAACCTTGGGAAACAAATGCATATTTCCCTCATTTTTTGTACCATGAGGTCTCCACACACATAATAATATAACAATATGTTTTTTTTCTTTTTCACACTATATTCCAACCAATCAAAATCGTTAAAACATAAAGGAACGAAGCTTCTTAATCTATCACCTATTTTCTTTTTTGGAAACTTATGTAGCCTTATTTGACAAGGTCCTTGAAGCAAATACGCTCTTCTTACATCATCTCTTATATTTGAGGCATAACTTGTAATCTTTGGCCTATCGGCCGGGTCCTTTGGAAGATTTTTCAAATCAACATTATCATTAGTTTCATTAGAGCATGGTGTTTGTGGAATTGCATTAGAAATCGAAGGGATTGATTGATTGGTGATTGGTGTTTGGGAAGATCCTTCACCATTTTCATTAGTATTAGGTCTTGGTCTTTTGGTAAGAAAACCACCAAGGGTAACCTACAATTCAACATTAAGCTAAATAACTAATAATTTCACCAAATCATCCAATAGCTTCAATAAAAACATACAAATTACACCAAATCAAAATTGAACTTCAATAAAGACAATAAGGCATAGCAATTTTATTTCACCAAATCAATCAATAAGTCAA